TGTCTGGTTCTATTAACACACCTTGCTAATGAATTATTATATACTTCTCAGCAAGGGGCTTTATCTGCAGCTCCACACACATATTCCCAGTGGGTTTTTGAATTTCTAGAAGCGTTTTTCATTATCACAGTGATAAGGAAATCACGGCAATAATGAATGTAGAGTTCCTGCCTCCAGAGAATGGTAGTATATAGTGGAGATACAAAATCAAGGAGAGGGAGAGGGCTTATGTAATGAATGATCAAAGCAATTACACTAACAGCAGCTTCTTTCCAATTTGTCTTACATGTGGTGTTTCTCTATACGCTATGTATGGACTATTGTTGCTGACAGAAAGGTGCTGAATTGTGCTTTACTTTTGTGATGAGTTCCTCACTAAGTTAACTGTCCAGTGCAAGTATGTTAGTGGACAATTTCTTTACAGCAGAATTAACAGACAATTAACAGCATGTGATGCTTATTTAGAGTTCCAAGGTTGGACTTTAAGGTTCTTTTACTGCTTTTTAGCATTTACTTTTGGCCACTTATTTGTATTATAGAAATAGATATGTCTAAGTTACTGCAATTGAAATTACACAGATATGACCAAAAATAGTTTTAAGCTAACCTCTAAAATGAATTTTTTTTAAATAGGTTTTTGTTTTATAGTATGTTTCTGATATTTCTTAATCAGTACAACTATACAGTAGTACAAAATGCCTAAAACAAACATTGCTGCTGTGCATGACCACGAAACACTAGAGAACAGGGAAAGGAAGTAATTTCATTCGTAATTTCTATTCTGTTAACAGTGGATTTTTGGCATGTTATTTAGTGAGCCAAACTCACTCTTTGGAGTCTCCAGGCATAGACCAGATAGTATAGAAATGACATTTAAAAAAAAAATCAGGCTTTTTGTTTGTGCCCATTTTTTTTCTCCTCTGAATTCAGTGTATGTATGTTTGCAGTTGGATATCGAAAAACCAGTGGTGAAGCTGTTAGCAAATATGTTTGGTTTAGCTAGAAGCAGGTACGCTATGAAGTGTCATAACTTCAATTAACATCATGTAGACAGAAATTCACACTGAGGCTGTGTATCCCAAGACTGACAAATAAGTTCATGGTCATATATTTCCCTGGGCTTCTCCAGTGTTCTTTTAAATATAATTTTCAATCTATTGTTGCAGATTATACCATCTGAAGTGTTTATATTTAGAAACTCTACAGTTGATTAGCAGAGTTTGCTATACCTTCATAATGTAACTCCTACTTTTAAAAAGCTAAAATTGGTGGAATTATTACAAAATTAACATTGAAATTAAAAGCATGCACGATTACCGTGTCTTAAAACTGTAGTCCATAAATTCAGTTTCTTTCCCACTTAGGGGAGCTCTAAATAGGACTATGTCAAATTACTTGAGACACCACCTCACTTCGTAGGATGCAACTTCCAGTGTGAGGCTTTAGTGGAGAAGTAAAATTACCATTTGTAACAGAAGCATGCTTTGCACAGGAGATGGAGCTTTTTGCTTATTCAGTATCAATATGAAATTACCAAAATACAGTACAAAAATACAAAGATATTCGAAGGAGGAGTCCCCAACACTGTCAGAATAGAATAGCATATCAGCTTCTTTGTTGCACAGTTCTAATGTTCGGTAGACTCATTAAAAATATTTCATTAAAAAATTCTTCAGAGGTTCAGAAGCTGAGACACCTGAAAACAGCCATTTAAATTCACTTACCAGTGCTTGGAGATAGAGAGACTACCTACAAATTTTGACAACTGAGATATGTAAAGTTAAGGTGATTTGAGATAGGATTAAACAGACAGAGCGTTACATCTGAATTAAAATTCAGTGTCAGAGTGTATGCAGTAATAGTTGTAACTTGTCTACAAGTGTGTTCCTCTTGTCTGTTGCTCTATTTGTAAACATGATCAGATGTGTCATCTCCACTAAACAGAAGTGTTGATCTGAAACTTTCAGCTGTAGAAAATGAATGTCCACTCTGCGTGTTTTTTAGCCTCATTGGCCTTTGTTTTCAATTGTGTCTTGAGTCTCATGGATTTAATGTTTTGGTATTAATTGTTTTGAAGAGGGTTTATATTTAAAGACTTTAATTTTTTGATAATGCTTCAATTAATTGTGGGGGTTTTTAAGTTTGGATTGAGTTTACCTGTATGGCACTATTTGTCACCTTTTAATCTGCCCTGTTAATTAATGTTAAATAAATCTGACAGTCCTCTAAATATAAGTGTGGTTTTGTAGGCATTGAACTGCAGCTTTACTATTTATTTTAAGGTGTTCAGAGGTGCTTCTTACCATGGTAGCTGAGAATTTAATGTAAGTTAGTGTAATTAGCTTAATACTTTTGAGGTAAGAAATTGATCACATCTTCCAAATGGAAAACAGAAAAACAGGGATATAGTATAGCACAAATATTTATTGCTAGTGTAGTACTCACATTTTATAAAATGTATCAGTATTGTATTATACCTGGTTTTCAAATGAGAAAATCTAAGTATTTGTGCAAAACAGGGGTTCTTGAATGCCAGTGTTGGGTTTTTCCCCACCAAGTCACTTTATTTCTTTTCTCTACCACTAATACTTAGCTAACCTGTCAGAAGTCATAAGGTTTTGGTAGTCAGAAAAAAATCCAGAGAACATCAAGTTCGGTCCACAGCGTTATGTACAGACATTGTAGATGCATTGCTCATGTCGCAGCATTTAGAACCTTTGGTGGTTCTACTGCTATTCCCAGTTAGGTGTCAAGACAAGGACATGATTGTAATGGCCGTATGCTATTTATAGATATTGCTCATTCACCAAGCTGAGGTTTGCTGAATCTTTCCTCAGCCTTTCTTACAGGTCTTCCTAAATGCTGTAGTTCCACTTCTATACTACTTTCCAGACTTCCTTAAATTAAGTAGAAAGCAATCACTATGATGATATTAGGGCCCAGTATGCACTTCAGGGTACTTAATTCTTCACCTTCCTCTGTTGTTTTTTTTTAAAGTCAAACTGGCAAAACACAGATCAACATTGCACATTTACCTGCAAAGATAAGTAATCTTTCGAAAGCCACACTGAAATCACTCGGACTCTGCAGGACCTCATTAATCTGTTTTTGGATCCTGATACAAGGTTGAACTCTGAAAGTACACAGATGTATATATCAGTTAAGGCAGTGCAAGAGGCAAAGTGTTTTCTTGCAAATACGTGAAGTTTGAAAGCACTTGAAATAGTAAGCTGTTATGATGAACAAGAAGATGATTAAATTTGGAGAAAAAGTTTGGGAAAACTCTCAAACAGAGAATAGAGAAGTATCTGCTAGAAGTAGTTCAAAAGATGCAATGAGTGTCTCTTGCAGACAATCTTCACATTATTCTGAATTTACTGGGCTATTTCAGTGAAAGAAGGCCTTCTGAAGTGAGCTTGGTGCTCTGGTATGTTTGCAGAAGTGCAGGAGGATTGATACAAAAATGAAAGAAAGATTTTTCTCAGCTTGTCTTCAAAGACATCCCTGTAAGAGCTGTTTCTGACTGGTAGAAAGCCATCAAAGAAGGGAGATATTTGCTACGGTTTGTGTGCTTTGTGTGAAGCTAGTTCAGGGAACAATATAGATAATTTCTTGGCCTGAGTCTTTCACTTACTGATGCTAGCTTAATAGCATGCCCTGGCTTCCTACAAAAGAAATAGCAAGTCTTGGGGGAGTCTGGGTTCTCCTCTGTGCTGACTTCGAGAACTCCACAAAAACTGACTTTGGCTGCTGAAGTCTATGACGAGGCTGTAAAACTGTGAAACAATGTCACAAGGCAGTATCTGTTCACTTAACGCACTTAAAAGCAGACTTGGCTGTCTATCACGGAAGTGTCACTGAACTGGCAGGGAGAGAACTGCAGGTCTTAGCAGTTGTTTCTTCCTCTGATTTCTATTGCTAGTCTAGAAAGTAGACAAAAAGGACTTAGGTGAACTAAAAGTCCATAACTTTAGCTCAATGGTCATAGCAAAACAGAGAATATATGACAGTTAAACTTCTGTGATGAACTTCTGCCTGTTGTTGCAACAAACGTTGATGCATTTTACTATTTTCTTGCTTTTATAGGTATTTGCATATTTTCCAGTGAGAAGACCTTTTGTTTTCTGTAAGATGCTATTATCCTGAGTGTTAATGGGTTTCCACCTATTAAGATGTAATCATATGCCTTAAGTATTTAATCATAAATTTGAAAAACCTTCATGAGCAATCTCAAAGGAATACTTGGAATGCACTCATAGTACATTGGCTCATTTTCTTGTAATTTACTAGAAGTGCTGATATGAGAGCAGTTGTAATGTGGAAGTTATATTAATCTGTGGAGATGCATTGTATATATGAAATTATTACTTTAGAACTTTAAGACATACGAGGTGATTTAGGCTTACTCTTGTTACTTAGAATCACAGTAGAAAAATGATCACTATCTTTTGAGGTAATGCATTTGAAATAAATACAGCAACCTTAAAAACAAACACTGCAGTAATAAATTATTAGATGTTGCATAATCATTTATCTTTTCTAAAGGATCATTGTGGGTGAAGAAATTCAACAGGAGGCCTATAGTAAAGTTTGTTTCTTTCAGTTTATAAAAGCTGTCTAGAAATATTTTCACTTGAGATCTTCTCTGAAAAATAAAGCCAGTGGTTCTTGACAGCAAATCCTGAAGCAGCTAGCTTGATGCCATTCTGTGGAGACACGATCCCCCTTTGGCTGGACTATTTTTGATAAAGGCAACTGGACTTTAAATAACTTTTAGATTTAGTACATTTTAGAAACAGTTGTGAAACGATTATCTGATTTCTTTTTCTTTTTTTTTAATAGAATGTGAGAAGTGGAGTAACTGCAATTAATTTCAATACTGTAATATTAATCAAAATTATATTTGGCACTGGGAGGCTGAATATCCTTGTTCTTTATGGAGACATCATATGTAAGAAGTGTCTAAGGCTTTGTAAAACTGTTCCCCAATAGACTGGAACATGGAGACACAGCTAGACCCCATGAAGGATGACTTGCCCTTAATGGCCAACACTAGCTACATGCTTGTAAAGCACTATGTATTGGACTTGGATGTGGATTTTAAAAGTAAAGTTATTGAAGGCGTCATCGTTTTATTCTTTGAGACTGGGAGCCTGTACAGGAAAACCAGCAGTACTGGTAAAGGCAGCTGCCAGTCACAGTTTGGTGAAACCTGTAAAATGAGGGCATCTGAACTCTGCCACACTCCTGTGACAAATGTGAGTGCCTGTTCATCTAAAACAGAATATGACGACTTTGCTGTCTGTGGTAAAGGTGAAGAAGATACTTCTGATAAAAATGGTAACCATAGCAACGAGGAACAGGCTTCTGGGATTTCTAGTTCAAAGGACTGCTGTGACATAGAGAATCATGGGAACAAGGATTTTCTGCTGGTATTGGACTGCTGTGATTTATCTGTGCTAAAGGTTGAGGAGGTGGATGTTGCTGCTGTGTCAGGCATTGAAAAATTCACAAGGTCTGCTGAGCTAACTGATGTTTCAAAGGAACTGGAAAATCTCAGGAATCAGATTGTACATGAACTTGTGACTTTACCGGCAGATCGCTGGAAGGAACAGCTATACTATTTTACTCGCTGCAGCCAGGCGCCTGGCTGTGGAGAGCTTCTATTTACTACTGGCACTTGGAGCTTGGAGATAAGGAAATCAGGAATTCAGACTCCAACAGACTTTCCTCATGCAATAAGAATATGGTACAAAACCAAACCAGAGGGAAGATCTGTTACATGGACTACAGACCAGAGTGGGAGGTACGTAACTATTAGCTGAAACCTTTGTACGCATTAATTTTAAACATAGGTGCAAGAATGTAGAATTGTGTAATGCTGAGCAACTGTGAAGATGATGAGCATTCTCTTCCACTGTTTTCATTTCATCCTTGGTTTGAATCCTGTTGCTGTCCTGTAGGAGAACAGACAAACTCTCTGCTTAAGAAACCCCAAAGGACTTGCAGACCTCAGGCCTGTCTAAGTGATTGCATTTGCTCATTCTGAGTGGGAGTAAGTAATTGTTGTGTATTGGAATAGGTGTGTGTGGGGAACAGGGAATTATCACTTAGGGGAAGAGAAGGTACGCATGACAGGTTATTTTCACTCTAATACTTTGTGTTCTTTTTCCTTCCTGGCTTAAACAACTGATCATACAGCATAAAGATCAGTATACATAATATTTAATAGAATTGCTTCACAACTAGTCCTTTATCAATATTGTAATAAGTTTAGAGATGCAGTCTTTTCCTGTTTAGTCTCTCATAATCAACTTTTAAAATCTCCTTCATCTATTATGTAAGGTGCATTGATGATACCAAATGAACTGCAAACTGAAACTGCAAGAAGAATTGGCATTTTATCTAGTGTTTGTGAAAGTACACAGTGCTGTACAGAAATCTTCAAGATAAGCTCTTTATAGGAGGGAAACTACAATCCACTCTTGACTTCTACAACTGTAGTTGTTTTACTGTAATGTTCAAAGCTGGATTTTAATGGCTGTTAGTTCTTTATGATACCCAAAAAACAGGAACAAAGTTGGAAGTTGAGGAAGAAATTTGATCTAATTGAATACTTGCTTTTCATTCCCAAACTAGAGATATATGGTTACATTTCATTTCAGTTATGCTAATAGAAATTAAGAGTCTTCTCACTGGCATCCATGTTAGGGAGGAAAATGAGGCCTTTTAATTGTACTTCTGGTAGTTAGGTAATTCTACTGCTAAACCATGAGCAGCATGAAGTCCAGGAATGTCTCAGTCCATTACCTCTTTCCCTTCCCCCTCCCTTCCTCACTCCCCAAGGAGTTATTTTTGGTATGAGTTTAGGAAATTTAACTCAATATAGTATCTTTAGTGATGAAAATTCTGAATTTTGACTGCATGCAAAAGTAGGGCAATTCCTGTGATCACACAACGTGTCCGTGTTTACCTGCCCGTTACTAAAGTTTTTGAGACTAATGTTGGCAACACTCAGCTGGTATAGGATTCCTCCTGTGTGTTGTCTGTGTGTTTTGAGCATTTGAAGGTTTCTTTTAAGCATCTACATCACTAACAACTTTTAGTTTTGACTCTTTCCCTTTCACTGCAAAGCATTATTCTTACTTTAGAGACATTTCATGGCAGTTGTACACAAACACATGGAATTTTACGAATCAATAATGAAGCAGGAAAAGATGGCTTGACCTGGGTCAGGCAGTCTGATGGTAGCAAATAGTCTCAAGCTGGTTTATTGTCAGTCTTTTGTAGGGTATTCCAGAAACTAATTCCTGTCAGAAAATAAATTTTCATATCACAGTCATTAGAATCTTTCTTGCTACATTTTTTAAATAAAATCCTGTATGTGATGAACCCATAAATATAGTGGTAAAGCTCATTGTACAAAATGCTGTCATATTTTTCCTTCCCTTTCTAAAAATAAAGCCCATTTATAATGTATGGGGGAAGTACTATTACATTATATTCTCATAGGGGAATTCTTTAAATTGTTCCAAATTATGCGTATGGTACTTTTTAGGCAGATCTCAAATCCTTTCCCAGAAGAGTCTATAATCCATGGTTCTAGCCCTGAAGAAAAGTGAAGCGAATAACGAAGTACAAGCATTGTGTGGCCACTTCCAATATGTTTCCTCTAATTTAACACTAGTACAATGTTTTGAAATTTAACCTATACACTCTTTTATAAAGACTTGCATTTTATGTGTTTTAAATAATGGTGTATTATAACACACACAAAAAACGGTTACAAGAAAGCTTTGTGGGATGAGTTTAGGCAAGTTGAGGTATGTGTATGCAAACCTGATGTTAGTACAGCAGGGCACATTTCTGTTTTCAGTAGAGGAACTGAACACATGGAATTTCAGCATTTCCCTGTTTGGGCTTTTGATACTAGAAAATACATTAATGATCAAGAAGGAGGGTTTTCTTTAGCCTTTGAACATGTTTTTTGTAATAACATGCTTTTTGGGGCCTTTATGCAGAAATACTAAAAAGGGGGCAAAATAGAGGAAGAGAGTATGTGTGTGAGTATATGTGGGTATGCACATATATATGTATACACACTTTTTTGTGTCTTCAAAAGTTATACTTGCAAGGACTATATCAGTTCTTAAAACTGGCAGGTAATTTTTAACAGCGATCAATAACATAATTATTAAAATAGAAAAAAAAGTGTTGATTATAATGTTTGTAATATATTTATCATGAACAAAGAACAGTTCTTTTTCCAAGTTTTTCAATTGTTTACTAGCACAATACAGCACTGGGGTTTCAAACTAAGAAGGTAATGTTGCAATTTGAACAAAATTATACTTTTGTTTGAAGTATTCTTACTAATATTAAGTATTATAAAATGATTTAAAATAAAAACTTATTTTAGACACTATAATAACCACTTTGCGGAGGGAATAATGTGTATAAAACATCTTTCATTACTGGGAAGGAGAAACTTTTTTGCCAGCCCATCAAGCAGTTTTGCCTAACTCTTAGGAGTATGTAGCAGTGTTGAGTCAGCATAGCTACCAGCGTATTTTGAATTAAATGCTTTCTCATGATCATTGTTAAGAATCCTTATTTGTTAAAATATCCTGGGATCCCATCTCTTTATTGTTTAAGAAAAGGATTAAACACATTTGCATTAAAATTAAAAAGGTGATTTTCCTAGCAGACAGCCTTGCAAATTCACCTCTAATGGGAGATTCCTCCTGCCTTTTTTCTGGCCTACTTATTGCCACTTCTAGTGCTGTTATAAATTAGTTAATGGTTTTGTTGATATTAATGAGCGACTGGAATGGAACTCACTTCCTCATAGTGGGATTAGGAATGAAAGAGTATCTTTGATATGAACGACATCAATGAAAGACATTCCATGACACTGAAACCCTTCAGTACTGGATCCTAATGCTGTAAGCTACCTGTGCATTATTTACCTTGGCATACATGAATAGGTACATGAATCAGTCAGGCACATGCATTTATTTTTTCAGGTTGAGCCCTAGATATCAGATATACAGAAAAGGAGAAATTCTGGGAAGTAAAAGGGATGGGTTGAATTACTCCAAATGTATGATTTTCATGAGAATGCTATGGAAAACACATATTTTTAAAAGCTATTAAAGGATGATTGAGCAGTTTTGGGGACACGCTCTAGAAAGAGTTAACCTTGTGCTAATTTTCCTAAGTTGGAAATATTGGAAAATGTGAAATGATCTCCTTAAAAAAAAGATTATGATATCTTGATATTTATTTGACCAATTTAAATGTCTTACCTTTTAAAAATATTTTGTATCTGTCTAGTTGATTGCTATCTTTTTTTTAGATTAAAATATCAATGTATTTTTAAAGAATTCAGGAAATATTTTTGCCTTTATGAAAGCTATGAAGACTAACAAGCATAAATGTGCAATTTGGTAGAAGTACTAATGCTAGTATACATTCTGGAATTAAATGCTTCTTTTCAGATGTAGTGTTCAACTGTATCACAGACATCACTGAACTGCATGGCTCCTTATTTGTTATAAATAATCTTGCATTTCTGTAATGTGCAGCTGAAGCACCTGAGGTGGTGATTACAAGAATATCCAAAGAGGTGGTACCTAACATAGCAATAAAACAGACCTTGGTTTCCTGTTTAAATAATTTGATGTTACTGATTCTTCTGAAACAGCAAAGAACTAGTAGAAAAGTTCTGCCGAACCTATTGTGGTCTGTTTTGTGGACCTGTGTCAGGAGCCTGTGTAAGGCTGCATCTCACTGGCATGGAGACTGGCACAATTCCTCATTATTTTTTTGCCTGCAGATAAAAAAGAGAAATTTTACCTTTTTTGAAACTGATTGTTTCAAGCCTGCCTCTTCTTAAGACACATACGTTTTGAAATGCAAATCATGTTCAAAGAGAGTAGTTGCAATTGTTCAGATGCATTGGTGACAAGAGCTATTAATAAATTTGGGTATTTCTGAAGATAGGCTCTTAAAAGGTCATATTCTTCTTTGGTACTGTAGTCAGTCAGACCGTGTTATGTAGTATGTTGCATACAGTAAGGACTAAATAAAAACTGTAAAAGTCCGCATAACAACACTGAAATTTTTCATTTTTTACTACTTTAACATTTAGTTCGATATTCCCTTTTGAAAGAGACCGAAATTTTCATAGATGTTCTAAACTTGAGATTTTTAATAAATATTCACAGTAGTGGAAACATGCTAAACATGTTTCTTGAATATTTAGCTGAAGCTTGAAGTTGGAAGTGAATTCTTGAGCAGTGATCTCTAATTTCCAGGAGGCTACACATAGAAGTCCATGTTTATGAACTTTCTGTATATGGAAATATAACCTAGAAAAAACGTTTTGTGTAGTTGTAAACACGGTGTTTCTAGTGTCAGTCACAACAGTGATATTTATTAAAAATCTGTTTCTTGAATATTTAGCTGAAGCTTGAAGTTGGAAGTGAATTCTTGAGCAGTGATCTCTAATTTCCAGGAGGCTACACATAGAAGTCCATGTTTATGAACTTTCTGTATATGGAAATATAACCTAGAAAAAACGTTTTGTGTAGTTGTAAACACGGTGTTTCTAGTGTCAGTCACAACAGTGATATTTATTAAAAATCAAGAAGTGGCGTTTGATACATTTTAGTATATGTAATTCCCTTAAGTTTCAGAACAGTTAACAAGAATTATGAAATTGTTTTGTTTTACCTAGAGACTGTTGGGGAGGCAAAATGTCACCATTTTGCATGTGGAAGGATTGCTCTCCAAACATAAGTC